GAAATTAAAGGACAGTTAATTATTGCAGAATGTCGATCTATTCCCCGGTTACAAAATTTTTTAAAGCCACCTTTACTATAACATGCTTTAAGATATGATTATATTTCAGGAACTAAAATGTGCTATTAAAAAATTCTCTATTAAAAAATATGCTTTTAGTGAAATTTATTACGTTTCTTAGCAAGATATATCTTCTTGCATTACTACACTGGAAAAATTATCTTAAAATCAACAAATATTCTTTTGATGGGTGCCATTAACATATTTACTTAAATCTAAATTCTCTTTATTTAAATCAAATATTGTTTACCAGATTTAAGTAAACAATATTTGGTTTAAATAAAGAGAATTTAGATTTAAATAAATATGTTAATAGCACCTATCAAAGAAATATTTGTTGGTTTTAAGGTAACTTTTCCCTCAGTATAGAAAAATAGTAAATCCTTTTAGAAAAGAATTTATATAAGAACAAAACTAGAATACTCTCTTCTAGTATTATTCCAAAAACAATGTACGCGGATGCATACCATAATAATATCTATCCATTTGGTTATATTCTGCTACATTTACGTGAGTGGATACTAAAGCGTCCAATTATATACGAGACAATTCCGATATTTCGGTGGAACTGTATTTCGGGAGATTGTCTCGGCATTTGGATGTCGGTATTATGAATTTCCACGAAATTGTGTCTCGCTTTTGAAATTTCGATACATTTGCTATTTGCTTTTCAGATTTTGGTACATTTTTTTTCACGACAATGCACTCCGGTTATTAAAAATTGAATTTCTTCCCGTGTGATGGTCAACGCGTCCTTCGTCTCGCCGTTATTGACATAAATATTAAATAGCGGAAGCTTTCGGAAATGCCGCGTCCGAGGGACGCGTTCCGCTGGGAGCGACGACTGGATTAAAGGAATTCCTGGACGGAGGGCATTCGCGTGGAAATCGAGAATACGTAATAGCGCGAGCTCTCCCCCGTGGGCGTGGAGAGTCGGTCGAGCAATTAGCTAATTCCCAACGTGAACGAGAGGAACGATGATGGCGCGCGCGAGGACAACGTTGCTGAGCGACGTCGTTTGACTTGAAACTTTTTAATTAACCTAGTCGTGGGCTACATTTCGGGTCTTCCCCGCGGCGCCAGGACCAACCACGACCGGGAAAAATTCAATCGAGCCAATTTCACCGTCCTCCTCCCTTTCGCCTTCTAATTCCCCTCATCCCTCTCGCCGTTTTCGCGACTGCCCGACGTTTCCTTCTCGGTCGCGACGCGCCGGAAAACAATCAGGCGCGATCGCAATCCAGACTTCTTCGTGAACCGATCAATCGTCAGGAGCGACATCTTATCTTCGATTTATTATATATAGAGTGATTCTTCCGAGCATCGTATGAAACGCTCTAAGACGGATTCTTCTTTATTTAATATGTTCGCTATTAGCGTCACGCGTATATCACGCATCGATTTTTTATAAAAATCCAACATCAAACAAAGTCTGTTTTACAAAATTGCACAAAAAATTACACAGTGCACGGAGAAAATGTGGTGAAAATTAATAATCTTATAAAATTTTATAATCTTAGACTTTAGAGAAATTTTGATTAAAATTAGTATATATAAAAATTAATAAAAAATACATAATTAAATAATTCGGATGGTGTAGTAGGGAATTAATTAATTCATATTAATATTAATAATTAAGATTCAAGATCGATTTGATATGGAAAGTAAATTGATCGCGCATACACTGCGAAAAAAATGTTTGGTATTTATAATTATAAAGGAATAATTAACTATAAATTATGATCTAAATAGTTCCAAGGAAACTATTTTTTTTATCAAATTCTACTATAATATAATAATAACTTTATGTGCGTGTTACTACTACCATTTTCGTGATAAAATAACCAAAAAATATGGTTAGGACCAGAAATAACTATAATTTTAGTTAAATCGACTATTTTTCTTTCAATATATATTGCAAACACTGAAAAAATATTTGGCACGTACGTTAACACTGTCAAAGATTATTATTCTCCTATAAATTGAAACATTCGTACTGACATCCGCGTTTGGCTTTTACTTGCGTTATCTATTCTTTCGTTTAATCATATACTTCACGGAAAAAAAACTTGGTTGCATGTAAGTTTAAGTTAATAAGATTCTGGTTAACCAGGTAAGATTTCAAGTTAAGCACAACTTGCAACTGTTCAAATTGAAAAGTTACAATTCCTAGTTAATCAGAAATCTTGTTAACTTAAATAGGATTTTGGCAATTTCAATCTGGGAATTTCGGGTTCGTTTATATTTCATCAGAAATTTGATTAATCCAACCACACATTTTTTTCCGTGCTCGAAAACTTGTTTTCGTATACTGTATATACTGTTATAGTATACTGTATATTTGTACAAAAATATGATCTGTTGAAACTTGCAATTATTATTTATAATTACTTGTAATTATTACTTCTATAATATCTATATCATTTTATAATTATATGTATATGCTATTTCTATAGCAATTTGCAATGTCAGTATATATACAGTCGAGCTTTACGAAAAACGTTCCAAGATAAAATATGGTCTTATCATAATTTTTACTGCAACATTTTCTCCGTGTGATTTGTGAGAAGGACTCGTTTCTCCCCAAACGAACGCTGGTAGCGAACGTGTTAAGTCCCAGAGGGAAGATTTTATTTCTACACGAACAAACTAAGTCTGTTTCACAAAATTACATTAAAAAATGCAAGGAGGTCTCTCACAATGAAACCCGGTGGCGAACGTGTGAAATCTCAGAGGGAAGATTTCACTTCCCTCTAGTGTGGGGCTCCTGCACTGTCGGTTGAAATCGCGGAAGAGAAGAGAATCGTGAAAATCGTCTCTTAGGAAGAAAGGAGTATCGCGTGTCCGCTTTGGAAACGAGATTTCCCTTCTCGCGGTTAAGCAGAACGGACTTCAATAAGACGCGCGCACGGTTTTATTCGCGCTGGCATATTCGCACGTCGGGCAGAAATTCTGAAAAGGAACGTATCGCATAACCGCCCTGGCTTGAGCTTTCCTTCCTCGCGGCTGGATATTTCAGATATTTCTATTACAAAGCGCTGCTCTCGCAAACTCCCATTCGGGCAAAATCATGGGAAAAAGCGCTGATTTAACCAGCCGGTTTTTCGGCTAAGCCGATTATTGGTCGAGGAGCGCGCGGCGAAAATCGCTCTTGCCGCCCGCGCGGAATCGGCGCGGAAATTTGGCCCCCGACGTTTTGTCACGCTCAATGTTGTGTGTCGCAGCGGTGCGCGTCGCGCTCGATTTACGAGGATTACAGGGCGCTTATTGCGCGCCGCGTGCAATCGTCCTCGCGAGGGGGTGCCACGGGGACGCCGGTCGTGCGTTCGTTGCGCACCCCCTTCCGCCCATTATCACCCCGGACGTCGCGCCCTGGAGCGAAAAATGCGACGCCGCTAAACGGTCCCGCGGATTTTCGCACTTTCCGGATACGCTCTCGCGCGATCGGAAAATCGGGAGATATACGTGCGCATTGTTCGCGCGAAAACCTATCGATTGTCCGGTTTCAATCGAGCCCGGCACGATTTTCGCGAGAAATCGTACCCGCGAAATTGTAACGAAACTCGCCGGGCGAGTCTGCAGTTTAACTCACTGCATTGCAATAACGCAGTCTCCCGCGCGTTGGGTTTTAGCGAGCCAAATGCTGTTCATTACAAACCTAACTTAACCTTATTATTTCATAATATTATTTAATAACAAGACCCTGAAAAAAATTCCGCGAGATTGCGTCAAGTGGCTGCACATCGAGTTTCGTACTTTACGGATGCGGACTCAAATATTGCGGAAACTTCGTCGTGTTTGTCAAATAAAATAAAAAAAGTTATCTAATTTCGAAGGATTAATCATTTTTACAATAAAATTAATATTATCGAATTGGTATCTTTTTACACTGAGAAAAAATGCTTGAAAATTTAGTTGTGGCACATATATATGTAAAGTTTATTTCTATCAAATCAATTTTCATTCTATAAATAAATTTTCAAGTATTTCTTTCTCAGTATAGTATTTAACGAGAACTTATTTAATTTTAAAGGATCAATTATTTTTACGAATAAAATAAACACTATCGGCTTGATATATTCTTTGTTGCACTGAAAAAAAAATCTTTGAAAATTTAGTTGTGGCACATATAAAGTTTATTTCTGTCAAATAAACTTTCATTTTACAAATAAATTTTCAAATACTTTTTCTCAGTATATTATTTAACGAGAACTTGCTATATTTTCCTTTTTATATTCAAACTTCTTATGAGAATTTAATAGAAAAATAATAAGTTTTCGCGTTAACCTAACAGACACATACACTAAGAAGAAAATATTTGAAAATTTATTTGCGGGATACAAAGTTCATTTATTATTTATTTGAAGAAATAAATTTTATTTCACAGAGATAAACTTTATATATTCTACTTTATATATTCTTAAATGAATTTTCAAGTATTTGTTCTTAAGGTATATCCTATGAGTTCATCAAATAAATGCAAAGGGTTGCATGTCGCTCATGGAAAATAACTAAGGAAGAAAATACTTGAAAATTTCTGTATGTAGGCGATAAAGGTTTACTCCACAAAAATAAACTTTATATCCTACTTTATATCTTATTAAAAGAAATTATTCAATAAGAAATTAACAAACGGATATTTCCGATCAAAAAATACCGATGAACTTTTCCGACTATCCGACTATCCGACTAGGAAACATTCGATGAGAAATCGGTTCATAATTTTTTGATTAAATTGGATATCCTGATCGGATATAAAAATCCATCGGTATTTTGATCGGAAATCATCTGTTCGTTAATTTTTTATCGGATGATTTTTCTCAGTGCACAAATAAAGTTTCAAGCATTTTATTGTTAACGTGCTGATGATGATATCGAAGTTAAAGATACCACGAGATGCGAAATGAAGCGTGACCAAGGGGAGATTCGTTCGTACTCACCGTCTTCTTCAGGCGAGATATCGGCGACATGTTGAGGCCAGCGATGATCGCCATCAGGGAATTGAAGTTGCCGATGTTGAAGCATTCTCGGGCGGTCTCGATCCAATATTCGACGACACGAACGCGTTGTTTCTTCTTCGCATGCTGGAAGAACACGGAGGTGCGCGTCGATTGTAGATTGTACTATGATGTTCTCCGAATATTCGGAGAGAGACTTGACGAGAATTTCTTTATTTCATCGGCACGCGTTCCGCCGAGAAACGTTATTCGAAACGTTATTCTGAGCGAAGGCACAAGTCGTATATACGAAAATGTGTGAAACACGTAGATTATATTTACCTTGCAGACTTCCGTCGCTACGAAGTAGCTCAGTCTGTTGAACCACTGAACGTACGACTCGAGATTTCGGGTTTTCTTCATATCTTTGAAGGAGGTTTCTAAATGCGGCGATTCCTGAGAAAATAATAAAAATACGGTATTCATGATATTTTATCGAGCGACCGTAGAAGTATTTGCACTGAGAACAAATGTTTGATATCTGCAACCAAATAGAGAAATGATTATTATAAATATAATTATATATAAAATATAATAATTATTATATAAATTATGGTCGAGAAAATTATTTTTTTGATTAAATCCTACTACAATGCCAGTGATAATAATCTTATGTGTGCATATTGTTATTGTCATTTTCGTGTTGGAACGTAAAAAAATATGATTGGGGTTAGAGATAACTATAATTTTAGTTAGATCAATAATTTTTTTCTCTTAGTATGAGAGCATTGAGTGATTTGTTAAGAAATACACTCACTTTGGCGAAGGCTTGCACGAATTCCTCGGGTCCGATGTAAGAAAGCCTCTCGAGTTCCACGTGAGTCAACTGCTGTGCCAACACAGTGGCCGATGGACATAGCTCGGTGACGTCCACCTGAAGACGAAATAATAATTTTATATTAAATTTAGTTTAGTATTCGTAACACAGCAAATTGATCTAAGTGAAAAATGAAGAATCTACACGGAGAAAAAGGTTTGGTTGAATCAATCAAATATCTGGTCGAATATGAATGATCCAAAAATTCTGATTGAAGTAACCCGAATTCTGTTTAAGTCAACCAAAAATCTTGTTAACTTAAACAGAATTCGGGTTACTTCAATCGAAATTTCCGGATCGTTCATATTTGACCAGATATTTGGTTAATTCAACCAAACCTTTTTTTCCATATATAGTTGTTAGATCTTGAATTATTCCATATAAACGATGAATTATTTTCTTAAATCTACACTATTTTTGTCTGCTTTTATATCTCCCATCTATTTATTCATCTTCTTCAGACACTTCCTTCAAAATTTTACAAAAGATACAATCATATTTTTAACAGATATTCTCTTATACATAGCCTCAAAAGGAAATCAAAAGGAAAATATTCTTCACTCAAAAAAAGAACTTTAATTATAACGTGCTATTTTTTGTAATTTAAAAGAGAAATCCTTATCGAAAGAATATTCTTCTATCGAAAAGTGAACTATTAATTGGAAATCTATCAGATATTATTCTTTTTTTTTTGAAAATCAAGAGGGAAGGATTTACTTGAAATAGAACGTTCTCTTATTAAAAGAAATTTCTATCAAGAGCAAGACTTGTTTTTATAGATTCTTATAAAAATGAAATTCTTCTAGCTTTAAGAATATTTCCTTTTTGATTTTAGAATGAAGTCACTTCTTTTGCGAGGTATATAAGAGGATATTGAATAAGATTATATTTCTTAGGTGTATTATCTTTTCTTACACCTTAGATTATCCCTTTCTATTAGAAAGTATAAATAAGACAGTTCGATTTAATAAAAAAAAAAAAAACTGGAAAGAAAAGTAAACAGCAAAAAAGTGCACCAAAGAGAGGTTAAAGCAACAAAAGGCGGTAAAGCTGAAAGCTTTGAAGGAAGGAAAAAAGCTCCGTTCGAATTGAAAATCAAGTTGAACAAGTGAGCGATAGAAAGTGCCGCTTTGTCAAACCGCATAAGCGTTGTTTACAAACAAAATCGCATCCGGATTGTGTAATCATGTCGCGCTGTTCTCGCGCGCTCCTGTAGATTTATGCTTCCGCAACGCTCTATTAGCCACTTCGATTCCGCAACACCGCGTCCTCATATTGTCCTCGGAATAATCGATTCGACCCCCAGATTCGTATGCAAAGCCGCGCGCCGGGAAGCCCGTTGTCTCGAAAGCCCGCCCGTTACCGAGCGTTGCGACAGTGTCGTAAGATGAAAAACGAACAATGGGACGAGGCGTTACGCGAGGAAAGGGAAACTCGTCGCCTCGTGTAACAAATGGGCATTTACACCGTTTGTCTCGTGTCGCGCGCGTTTGACTTCCACGCTGCTGCTCCACACCCCCGGCGCCTAGGCGGACCTCGTCCTTTCAGGGCTTCGATTTCTTTGCTCTCCCACGGTTGCTTTATTCCATTTGATTCGTCGGCGATATTCGCTCCGATGCAGCGTCTCAAAGGCTACCGCTGTGATAAAGGAGGGAGAGGAGAAAGGCAAGAGATTGAGAGGAAGAGGACGAACGGCGTACACTTGTCTCGCGCGCATGCACCCTTTCCTGCACTCTCCCCCGCACGTCTTATGACCGTGTGAGCGCCACGTGTACACGCATGCTTTGACAGCTTTCGGGTGTTACAGAGGGATGGTCGGTGATAGTAACTATACATACACATATACAGGGTGTCTCAGACTCTCCTCCACAATTTTTGTGAAAACGTAAAATGGATTGACATGAACATAGAAGTCTCTTTTGCGCAATAAATGTCGAGATATTAATTAAAGAAGATTAGTAAATGATCACGTGCGATATGGTAGGTGAGCTAAAGTGACGCCGTTTACCTAATTGCATACAATTAAGTCTGAATAATTGAATAAAAAAGCTTATATGGTCATTTTGCAAGTGACCAACTTTTAGTTTAATTAACCCTTTAAGGCGCATAATTCATGGAACATTCTAGTAAGTTCTTTTTAATGAAATATTGTCAAAAACATTCTAATTAGCACATTTATAAGGTTTCAACTGCCCGCATTCATTAAACATTCTAGTAACTTATTTTTTAATGAAATATTGTCAAAAACATTCTAATTAGCATATTTATAAGGTTTCAACTGTCCGATCCTAAGTGGTCCCTATTAGTACCAGTGATACTTAAAGGATTAAAGAAGGTCTTATATATTATATGTATGTATATAATACATAAGACCTTCTTTAATCCTTTAAGTACCACTTTAAATACCACTGGTACCAATAAGGACCACTTTAAGTACCACTGGTACCAATAGGGACCACTTAGGATCGGGCAGTTGAAACCTTATAAATGTGCTAATTAGAATGCTTTTGACAATATTTCATTAAAAAGAAGTTACTAGAATGTTCCATGACTTATGCGCCTTAAAGGGTTAATTAAACTAAAGTATGTAAAATATTTAACTATATTAAACTATATATATATATATAT